TTGAATTATTCTTAATATAACTAAATGAATAATGAAATTGATCCATTTGAAGAGAAATACAAAAACAAGTGACCTGTTTAACATTCACATATGTTCAATGTTCTTTGGAACAAACAATCATTTAATTTTTATACAATTAGTTCCGTTTATAAACAAATATAAATATAGAATAATATGAATTCATTATTGTTGTCGTGGTTACATATCATCAGCTGCTTACAATCATTGATATGTACATTGAGACAAGTTAACATTGAGATAAGAAATAGTATGGAACAATTGACATAAGTGAATGTAAAGAATTGGAATGATAAAAGTGTGTGCAAGAACAGATATGAGGTTATTTGATGTTAGAATCAAGGAAACATTAAGGATGGGTAATGTAATCGTTAAGTGGAGTTCAGAGACAGATAAGATCAATTATGAGATAATTTTAGAGGTAATGAAGGTTTTTGATGAAGTTTTGTTCTCTGAGCTGGATGGTTTAGTTGTGGAGATTTCATCATTCTTTTGAACGACATCATCATCAGCAGCACAAACTTCAGATAGAAGTGACTGCTTATTAGTAGTCAAACGCCATGACATTTCCTCACTTCTATCAATCCACGAGGACAACTGTGGACACTTATTTGACTGGAAAAATGTGAAAATCTTAGATAGAGGAAATTCAAAAAACACCAGAGAATTCTTAAAAGATTGGCACTCAGATCAATCAGCAATCAACAAACACATTGAAATTAATCCAATCTATCAATCAATCAGGAAAATTATGCACAAACATAAGAACAAATATCAAGCCAATGGTATATACAACCAAAACAAAGATATTAACAATAACAAGTTTAAGTTCAACAAGAATCAGTCAACATCGAGGTCTACAGCACAAGTTGTGAATCACATATGGAGGAATCTGAACGCTTCACTTCTATCTGAAGTTTATGCTGATGATGTCGTTCGGGAGGATAATGAAAGCTCCACAACTAAACCATCCAGCTCAGAGAACAAAACTCCATCAAAATCATCCACCTGAGCTAAAAATCTTCTCCACCATCTCAATGAACGGTTGACATAAGATTCATGGAATTAAGAACTAATAAGTTGGATTACGTAATAATTGAATAGAATTTGAAGAATTCATCTAATTTATGAGAGAATCGAGTGAGTGGAAAGGTGTTGATGAAGGGGTAGTTTAAGAATTCGGTAATGACAAAATCAAATTGAATTACCAGAGTAATAATAAGTTTATTACTACTGTCTATTTTTGAATACATAGATCAAGTTTGGGTATTTTGGCTTCAGCAATGAGGAATGTCAATGGTATACTATGGTATGGTATTTTATTTAATTATTACGTAATCCATTTTATCAGTTTTTAATTCCATGAATCCTTTATTACCTGTAAAATGATCACATAATTCATCTTATCTGTCTCTGAACTCCACTTACCGATTACATCACCCATCCTTAATGTTTCCTTGATTCTAACGTCAAATAGCCTCTTATCTGTTCCTGCACACACATATATTTATATATAGATATTATTGATAACCTTTATCATTCTCATTGTTTATATTCACTTATGTCAATTGTTCCTCACTAACTATGTAACAGTCAATAACATTAATATTAAAAGATGATTATGTGATCATATTGTAAACTGTATGAAGGTCTGGAGGGTAAAATTTTTTGGTGTGAATAGAAGAAACAAGAAGTCTTGACAAATTATGAAAGCCTGTTTCAAAGCTATTGTAATTTAAACATAATATTTTGTACTGTATTTCTTAAGCTTATCTTCAGTTTTGGACATAATTGTATTTATCCTAAGTCTGTTGTGAGATATCAGCTTACTGAAGACAATGGTTTACGGTGGCGAAACTTCGTGGATTGGTTGGAGTTAGACATTAACACCGTTGGATGCCGACTGACTCAGTGGCCCAGTGATTAGGCGCCTGATGCGAGACTGGTAGGTCCTAGCTTCGAATCTCGCGGGGGACGGGATCATGGATGCGCACTGCTGAGGAGTCCCATACTATGACGAAACGACCGTCAAGTGCTTCCAAGTTTTCCATTGTGGTCTAGCTTCAATTGACTCATGATCTCAACTACTGAAATTACTATAATATTCACAAAAACCAATTTTGATAGTAAAATAAATTTGTTTAGTTGCCTAAGAATTGTCATTTAACATTATTCATTTTATTATCAGAAGGGGTTTTGTGGAGATTGTAGTAATTTAAATAGTTGAGATCATAATTCAATTGAAACTAGACCATCATGGAAAACCTGGAAGAACTGGATGGCCATTTCGTCCCAGTATGGGAATCCTCAGCAGTACGCATCCACAATCTCAGCATTCTGAAATGTTTCGAAATATTGATATTATCATTTCATGTATCTATTGAATAGTTTGTTTAATTGAAAAAAAATTAAAACTGTATTCATTTAAACATACTCCAACCTGACTATCATGTAACATAGTCTTCTATTGAATATCATGAAAGTTTGGTTTTGATGATCTTATCATGAATAAGACTTAAAATGGCTTCCATTTGTCTAATCTTTACAATTTCATTCGATTATTTGTTCGACATTATGTATACTAATACAGTGCCCCCAAATGCCCTGGTACGGCCGAGAGTGGGGAGAGTGCGCTCTCCCTCTCGAAATGCTCTCACATGGCCATGCGTATATAGCCTCTGCCAGGGAAGTCCTACTCACTGCCTTCTCGTGGCGGGGGTGTTGTTTACGAAAATGAGAGGACGAAAAGCGAATGTCTGGCGCTTTAACCGGACCCCAAACCAATGGTGCACATGGGTTCCAGTATCCTGCGGGAACAAATGGCGTATGAACCAATCGTTGGTCACCGGCTACCATGGGACAGCATCTCCTTACGATGCTCCACTGCCTTGTGGGTCAGACGTTCAGGTCGAAGGCTCGGGATGTGGCCCCCTAAGACAACCAACTGCTTCGGTTTAGGCACCCGGACAGTATCACAGCCCTCACACAAATCAATTGAGATTTGTGTGGCGCATATGTATTTGGTGCCTCCCTGTACCTATACTTATGTGTTAAAAATAAAAATAAAAAATAATACTAATACATTACTCGGTTGTTTTCTTTTATATAGAATTAATATAAAAGACTTTGAGACAAGATGATAATCTAAGTAGTGTTAATCATTATCACAAAAGTACAAATTTAAGTGAAACTACTAACACATAATACTGTTAGACCGACTATGTTCCTCCACAACGAGTTACAATTGTAAGTACTATTTGCATAAAACTCTAACAGTGCCATGAATTAGTGTAATCTATCACAAAAATGCATCGCTGTTTGATTTCACAATTTTATTTACACATTAAACATATACAAAGTCTTAACCAATGGTTTATAATGTGAAAGAAGATAAAACATATTTGCCTTCAATATATATTTTGATGATTATTCAAACTTGATTTCTAACTCTTACTACTCTATTTCTGATTAATCAATTTAAGTAGTAACATTGGACATTACATATAACTCAAAAGATAGAAAATAATGTTTATTTGAATAGTCTTTTAAACAACAACAACAACAACAACAACACTATAAGAGGTTGACTAAATAAGATAGACCATAAGAATTACAATTAAAACCTTATGGAGACAAGAAATCACAGACAAGGAGATTAGAATGAACAAAATGGAACATCAGTGTAGGAATCGATAAGTAAACGCTGATAATGTTCTCCAGAAAACAAAAAGAAAAATTAACAGATTTAGCTCAATATACGAAAATATTCATAGGAGCTGTGAATTGATTCAATTATTTATTGATTTTATTTAAACAATTAAACATTGATACAAGGAGGTAGCAACACATAAATCATTCGATTTCTGTGTGAGGGCTAGGATATTACCCGGGTGCCGAAAACCAAACAGGTGATTTTGTTAAGAAGGTCACACTCAGTGTTTCCGACCTAAAGGTCTGATCTTTATGGCACTGAAGCAACGTCAGCAGATGTAGTCTCATGGTAGTCGGTGACCAATGATTACTTCATATACCATTTGTTCCTTCAGCATTCTAGAGCTCATGTACACCATTGGTTTGGAATAAGGGTTTTTCAATTCCACTTGGTGAATTCTCCGTGTTCACCTACCGGGTTAAATCACCGGACATTCACATGTTGTCCTCTCAATGTCATAAACAACACCCCCACCACAAAAAAGCAGTGAGTAAGACTTTCCTAGCAATTGTCGTATGCATCAAGACCATCGGTTCAATTATCATAAATCACCCTAAATTCGGTGATGTCAGTTTATGACCAACTAATTCATTAAGAAATTAATGTGAATGATCTTGTTAAACATGTCCAAACATATTCAATAATAAATATGTTAATAATAATGATAATTGTAGTGTCGGTTGACATGTTAATTCCTCATATATCTTATTCTAGCTTTCGAACAGACCAATCTATTCATTCTACTTCAGTCATATCTTCAACTTGTTAATTATTCGCTCATCAATCTTCCCTGGTTTTATATGGGTGAATATGTGTGTGTACATTTCCTTATCCCATTACTCATCACATATTTGTAACTTATTTTCATGTGGTTATAAATGTTGATTAACTCTTGACTAAATGGGAGTTGGCCTACCCGCCATCTCCACTGTGCGTCGTTTCACTTCTCTCTATTTCATTCGCTTCATATACAAACTATATGTATATCAATACTGCATTCTCGTTATTTCAATTATTGACTAATACAATTTAAGTCGATGATTATATAAGAGAATAGGCGATATATATATATATATATATATATATATATATATATATATTTCGACAACGATCAAAATAGAGTCAGATCTCTAGCCACTAAATTGGAGAGTATCCATCAACAAACATTATTCGTTCCTAATTGTAGTCAAGCGGAAGGGTCCCAGTAAATAATAATAATAACAACAATATTAACAACAACAACAACAACAATAACAAACATAATCATTACCTTGGTCTACCTCTAAGCATATAATATGCATCAAGATTTTCCATATATTTATTAAATGCATCACTTGTATAAAATAATGACATTAGTTTAGCTAATGCTTGAGCACGTTGTTGATCATTTTGTATTGTTAAAGGATTATTATTATGATTAGGATTATTACTATTTAAATTTAATTCATCTCCATGAATTAATATTAAATGAGATTGAAATAGAATTAATTTTATTAGTAATATAAGTAGTATACTCATAGAATTCATTGATTTCATATTCCAATTTAATGAAATTTGTTTATACATATGACAAAGCATAATGATTTATTTGTATAATTTAAAATATTGAAAATATTTATTTCTTGAATTAAAAAAGTAATGCTTAAACAACTAAATTGTTTATTTATAATAAAATCAAAACTAGATTATGATTTGTTAGAATGAATTGTATTCTATCAATGTTGATTGGTTAATTTATATTTCCCACTAGAAAAAAAAGTTTTTTTGTTTTTTTTTTAAATTTTTTTTGCAAAAAACATGATTTTGATGAATGATTTTTATATATTAATAGGGATGATATTAAGTAATGATTTGATAGATCTTATGTTAGAATAGGCTTTCAAATGCTTTGATAATGGTCGAGAATGGAAAGAGTCATATGACTATTGGTATATAACCTATGAGATCATGTATTTTATTGTTATTTAGATTTGAGAATGTTTATTGACAGATAGTCTCCAATTTAGTGGCTAGAGATCTGACTCTATTTTGATCGTTGTCGAAATATATACATATATATATCGCCTATCCTCTTATATAATCATCGACTTAAATCGCATTAGTCAATAATTGAAATAACAAGAATGGACTATTGATATACATATAGTTTGTATATGAAGCGAATGAAATAGAGCAAAGTGAAACGACGCATAGTGGAGATGGCAAGTAAGCCAACTCCCTTTTAACCAAGCATTGATCAATATTTATATCCACATGAAAATAAGTTACAGTTATGTGATGAATAGGAGAAAGAAAAGGTACACACACATATTCACCCATATAAAACCAGGGAAGATTGATGAGCGAATAATTAACAAGGTGAAAATATGACTGAAGTAGAATGAATAGATTGGTCTGTTCGAAAGATAGAATAAGATATATGAGGAATTAACATGTCAACCGACACTACAAACCACTGACAGGGAAGTCCTACGAAATTGAAAGGACGAAATCTGAATGTCCGGTGATTTAATTCGGTAGGTGGACACACAGAATTCATCCTAGTGGAGTGGAAAAACCCTGATTTTTAAACCAATGGTGTACATGAGCTCTAGCATAATGAAGGGAGAAATGGCATATGAAGCAATCGTTGGTTATCGGTTACTATGTGACTACATCTGCAGACGTTGCTTTAGTGCCTTGTGGATCAGGCCTTTAGGTGAAAGTTTCCGAGTGTGGACCTCTTTCACAAAACCACCTGTTTCGTTTTAGTCAACAGGATCGTATTCCAACACTTACATAAATCAAATGATATATGTGTTGCCTATCTATTTAGTGCCTCTTTCTACCAATATTTATGTGCTTGAATAAATAAATAAATTACTAAAAAAGTTGGTACTTTTGACTTGATGTTTATTCTAGTAAAATAATTTCTGAGAAAAGTTTTCCTCCGTTGTTTTTTTTTCTTTTTGCGATAGACTCATTTATTTTATTCCTTTAAAATGACTGACGATTAAAAAATTAACATTTAAAGAAAACATTTTAATTTATTCGTAAATGTCAATTAAACAGATTGTGGAGATTATTAAAGTTTTGATTGAGATCTTGAAACAATCGATGTTAGATAACCAATGATAACATAAAAGCACTGGACAGCCGTTTTATGCTAGTATGGTACTGCTCAGAAGTGCCCATCCACAATTTCACCGCTCGAAATACGAACATCGGGCTTTCGGTTTCGCGAACGAACACTTAACCTCTAAACCAGTAGTGTGTATCCACGATCTTGCTTGTGGGATTTGTCTAATAAAAAATTAATCGAAAAAATACCAGCAAATATTAGAAATAAATATATAATCTCTAAGATAAAAAATGGCATACTAACGATAGTAGTTATTCTCATATTTCCAAATTTAATTCAATTGTGTAGAACATACTATAGTCCCTAAATAGATCTCTATGAGATCACCTAATAATCACCTTATACAAAAAGATAGATAGATAGATAGATAGATGGATGTGTGGATTGATAGATAGATAGATAGATAGATAGATAGATAGATAGATGTGTGGATAGATAGATAGATAGATAGATAGATAGATGAAGGAAGACAGACATCAAATCCTTCATCTGTTGCAATCGTGAGTGTGCACTGTTGTTGAACAGTATCAAACTAACACTAATCTACTTACAGTGTTCCCACAATATGATTGATTATCGTCTAGTTGAATCCAGTCCCTTGTTCACATAAATCATTTCCAATTTAAACAATACATACTGACATCTCATTCCATTCTGTTCGATCTCCTTTCAATCTATCCCGTTACATTGATTGGTTGAAATTTTAGATATGTGTTAATGACGGATACAAATCAACTTGAATTCATTCTGGTCGGTGAGAATAATTTGTTTTTGTGAAGAGTTCATATATGTTTTATTTCGAGATCTATGTGTTGAGTGTGAGTGGTGATCAATGAAAGTATGATTGTTCTCGAACAATTATTTTGTTCTACTGTGGGACTCTTCAGCAGTGATCCCTCATCGCGAGATTCAAACACAGTACCAATCAATCTCGCGCGCGAACGATTAACCTTCAAACTACTGTGTCAATCGGCATCCAACCGTCCAACACTCCTGATGAATCTCATAATCGGACAAAATAGCCTTTCAGTGTTTCCAGGTTTTCCATCATGATCTAGCTTTAATGGACTCATGAATTCAACTATAAAATTACTAAATATTTCCACAAATCTCCTTCTGGTAATAGCAATATTAGTTTAAAAAAATACAAAATAATACCTTAAATGAAATTGACTGGTAAATATTCTTATAAATCAATTTTTCAGAACAAATAAGTAACAAAAAACAGATTTTAATTTTTCTCACCAATCTTTCATATCAGATATACTTAAAACATTTACAAATGATTTGTGGTAAAAAGGTGGAAGATAACCATAAGGATTAAAATAGATGATAATTCATAGGAATACATTGATCAAATCATTGAAGTTGATTGAATAAATTTATAGGTATAAACTAAACAATATCTACTTTTTTAAGCAAAGATGGATAGTGGTTAGCCGTGGAATCCACGACGCCCGTCTCGTCTTATTTGAGACTCGTCAGATGGATGTACCTGCATCTCATAGTTAATGTTCACTCTGCGACGACTCGAACCCAGTACCGTTCACTTCAAACGCCATCTCGTTATTCACTTAGCTACTGAGTCCGGATGGCTACCTGATTTTGCAATCGGGTGAAGTTGAAATTCACTTAGTGTTGTTTTACTTGTATCTTCCTATTGTTATTTAAGACTGCAATTGATCAGTCTCATGTTGGCATATGTGCATCCTGTGAGGATTGCCTCGATATAGCCTTAAGTCACATGCTTTTTTAAATAAAGATGAATAGTGGCTAGCAGTGGAATCCAGGATATGGATATATTCATATTTACGTGTACAATGATTACATAATTAGGTTATCATGAACGCGCGTTTCGACATATTCGGGACTCGTCAGCTGGATATACCTGCATCCCAGAGTTGATATTCATTCTGAAACTCGAACCTAGTACCGTTCGCTCTACTGATAGTCATCATCCATCTTTGCTTAAAATCCTTGTGATTTAAGTCAATATCAAAGCAATCCTCACAGGATGTATATATACCAATAAGAGACTGGTCAATTACAGTCCTAAACATCAATTGGAAGATACAAACAAACAATAGAAAATGAATAATGAAGTCGTTTATATTGATCATGGAATCTTTAGTAGCCTGATGTGTTCGCTTGTGGTGGCGGGATCACCATTTTAGTGGCCCGTGATCTGACTCCAATTCGATCGTAATGATTGGTTGCTATCGTCTATCCTCGTATATAATCATTGACTTAAATCGCGTTAGTTAATAACGGAACTAAATAAGTCAAATAACGAGAATGGAGTTTCGAATGCATATATTTCGTATAATTGTTGATTAGACGAACGAACGGAGGAACGATGCTAAGATTAGAAAGCGAAGCTAAATTGGCGCGCGGTGGAGATGGATGGTAAGCCAACTCTCCGCTTAACAAACAGTTAATGAATATTTATAAGCCCACAAAAATAAATTACAGACATGTGATGAGTAACGGGATAAGAAGTGTACATACGCCTACGCGCTCATACAAACACAGTCAAGATATTGATAAGCGAATAATTAACAAGGTCAGAATGTGACTCAAATACAATGAATAGAATGGGCTGTCCGAAAGTTAGAATAATGAGGTATTTGGGCTTAACATAATGACAGACACTACAAATCCTTCACATATCTGGGAAGCATCGTCGATAAACAAGGAGGTTCAGATGCAGACGTCAAGGCGAGGATTGGCAAAGCTAGAGCGGCATTCCTTCAACTGAAAAACATATGGAACTCAAAACAACTTTCAACCAATATCAAAGTCAGAATCTTCAATACGAACGTCAAGGCAGTTCTACTGTACGGAGCTGAAACTTGGAGAACTACAACAACCACCATCAAGAACGTACAAGTATTTATTAATAGCTGTCTACGCAAGATACTCAACATCCATTGGCCGGATACCATCAGCAACAGCCTTTTGTGGGAGAGAACAAACCAGCTTCCAGCTGAAGAGGAAATTAGGAAAAGATAGTGGAAATGGATAGGACATACATTGAGGAAATCATCAAACTGCATTACGAGACAAGCGCTAACTTGAGATTGTGAAGGGAAGCGGAAAAGAGGAAGGCCAAAGAACACATTACGTCGGGAAATAGAAGCGGATATAAAAAGGATGAATAACAACTGGAAAGTGCTAGGAAGAATTGCCCAGGACAGTGTTGGATGGAGAATGCTGGTGAGCGGCCTATGCTCCTTCACGAGGAGTAACAGGCGTAAGTAAGTAAGTAAATAAGTTATATTGATCAGTTACTTCTGAAATGATTTTTATAAATTCCAATGAGTAGCTATGATTGTATGTTCAACAAAAACTAGAAAGCAGTAATACAACTGATTTATCACCGACAAGTGGCCAATATTATTTTTGTCTAATCCTTTAATAAAATTTGCAGCGTGACTGCTATTCTATGTGATATGACAGAACATGCAAAATATTAAGATATTAGGTG